TTTCCTTCATCCTTATAAATAATATTACCACTAATATCTAAAGAGGTAAGGGTTGAATTTTTAACAAGAGACTCCGCTAATGTCTTTATTGCATCATGTAAAAAGTTATTAGAAAGATCTAAAGACTTAAGGCCAATGTTATTACCAAGAGCGTCTGCTAATTGTTTTCCACTTACAGAGATAACATCATTCTTCCGAAGGTTTAAAGAGATAAGTGTAGTGTTTTGATAAAGTGCCTCCGCCAGCTCTCCATAAAGACGATTTCCACAAAAGTTTAGGTCGGTGAGAGTTGCATTTTTACAAAGGACCACTGTAAATGCTTTTCCTATCCTTTGATCTAGAGAATTATTAGAAAGATTTAAGGAAGAGAGAGTTGTATTTTTACAAAGAGCCTCCGCCAACGCCATTCCACCTTCAAAATCAATTTTGTTATTATTTAACTCCAATGAAGTAATAGTTGTGTTTTTGCAAAGAACTTCTGCTAAAATTTTTCCTCCTTCATCACCAAGATTATTAGATTCAAGAATCAAAGAAGTTAATGAAGAGTTTTTACAAAGTGCAGTTGCTAATAGCTTCACTCCTTCAACGCCAAATTGATTACTTCCAAGATTTAAATAGGTCAGAGAGGTGTTTTCACAAAGTGCATCTGCCAATACTCTTGCACCTTCAACACAAATATGATTATCTTTAAGACATAAGGAAGTAAGTGTAATATTTTTGCAAAGAGCTTCTGCCAGCATTTTTACACTTCCAACACTAAGATAATTATGACGTAAACCCAAGGAAGTTAGAGTGGAGTTTTTAAGAAGAACATCCGTCAATGCCTTCACATCTTCATCAACAAGATAACAACGATCAAAGCTCAAAGTTGAAAGAACGGTATTTTCGTAAAGTGCTTCAGCTAATAATTTTCCACTTTCAGGAGCATCTATATACTTAAGCCTTAAAGAGTTGAGCGTGGTGTTTTTAGAAAGAGCATCTGCTATTTCTTTTATTTCATCAGAATCAATGCTAGGTTCATCATCATTCCAACCGTCATCATAAATTAAACTTGGCAATTCAAGATAGATGTCGGTAATATGTGTGTTTCTATAAAGAGTTTCTATTAAAGTCTTTCTGATAATACTATAATTATACCCATTAAAGATTACAAATTTAAGCTTTTCACTTGTTCGTAAAAGCATTGCGATCAACCAATATTTGATTTTTTGAACCGCATGAGAAGCATCGTTGTAATCTGATATATCATTAGATTTACGACCTTCTTTGTTAATCCAATCTATTATTGACTTACTAAGATGAGAATCTTCATAAGAGACAATAAAAGTAGAATAATTAAACAAAGGGTTCGGTCCTTTTGGAAATCTGAAATAACAATATTCAAAGTCGCTTAATGAACTTCGTTCTTCAGAATTTAGTAACAAAAGGTATATTCTTATAATTCTTGCATCGCTAAAATCTTTTAGAGGTTTGCTCCATAAAATTGGTACAACTAATCTGCACCATTGACGGCTTACTAGAAGACAAGAAAATAGGAATTCATAGTGTTGTAAATAATTAAAGATTTCAAAGAAACACTCGTTTGACAACGGTATCATTTTTGAAAAATGAAAAAAAATTCAGATTATTACATGCAATTTTTTTATAAGGATGCCTTTTATACCAAATTATCATAATCAATGAAAAATCAGGATCAACTATGATGCTGTTCCAGATAGGGTGGGAAAAAAAATTGATTTACTGATGAAACCCAGATGCTTAGTACGATAATGGAATATTAAGGCATGACCCATTGGGTGGTCGATATACTATGTAAATCAAAACTATGTATAATGTATGTGCTATATACTGTATAATAGCTAAATTTAAAAGTTTTTTTAATAAAATTATTTTGTTGAGGGGAATGAAGTGGAAGCCTTACTCCATTGAATTTTAAGAATGCCCGGTTCACTTGATCCAAATTTTAGGTTCAAATAACCAGAATTGAACCTAAATTAGGTTCATCGTTTGGATATCAAATTTCTTGGTTTAAAATATAGTGCAACTTTTAATAGAATATACTATATTAACTGACTTTTAATCTATCTATCTATCTATCTATCTATCTACCTATCTATACCACCTAATTCAGAGTTTTCAGAGTTCGTCCGTTTAAACGTTTTTGATTGGTTACCTGACGAACGGTGATTATTATTGCGACTTTACGACTGACAAGTATGTAACTTTTACGACATATAAAAACTCTGATTCTATTATTTGCATGATCTGCATGATTGTTAACTATATAGATTATATAGATTCGAATCAGATAAAAAATTGAAATTTGGCGTTGCAAACTAGAAGCACGTGACCTAACCAGTTACTACTATCCGATTTATGATTCGTTCGTCTGTTGTTTGAATTTTTTTGGTTATCCTTGGAAAAATCCTTAAAAAGATATAGTGGCTATTCATTTAATTTATAATAATTACAACAATGTCAATTCTATAATTATTGCGACATTGTCAATTATCCGTGTGATCGTCAAAACTATAATTATTGCGATATTGCCGATTATCCGTGTGATTGTCAAAACTATAATTATTACGACATTGTCAATTATCCGTGTGATTGTCAAAATTATAATTATCGTTATTACAACATTGTCGATTATCCGTGTAATTGATTTTTTACAGGGGAATCCCTAAAATTCCTGGTCGGAATGCATTAGAATGCATCGTGGTTAGGGTTGTGTAATTGTCAAAACTATAATTATTACGACATTGTCGATTATCCGTGTGATTGTCAAATCTGTGATTTAACCATTTAACCATAAAGTATCAAAGTAAATATCGAATGAATACTGTATTATATTTGCAGTTTCTTATATGTTAAATGTTGTAATACGATAGTTACCTGTACAATTTTTTTAAGATAGATAGCTTTTTATACCCACCCGGATTTCTTTATTGTTGAGCTAACTGATAATATAAGTAACGTTGAAAACATCGTTTACTGTAAAGATACAATTCATTAACTCTTAGTAATTGGTAATAATTATCTATGTAATGCAAAAATATATAGTATGAGGAACTTGATATCAAAAAATAAAATCGAGTATTAGTTGTCTTCATTTATTATGATGAAATAATACGTAATATCAGGACAAATATAATGACACAATCATTGACATAAATATTATAACACGATTTATATAAAACATAAGAATAACAATCATCGTTGATGTAAAAATTAAATTGACGTAAGTATTAAACAATGCAATTATTAATTAATTAATTAATTAATTAATTAATTAAAAAATAAACAGTAAATAAATACTACAAAAAAGTATAAAAAGTCGCATATCTACCTTAAATTCTATACATGTTCTATAACTGTGTTATGTGTTGTTATCGTATATATGTCATCATTCATTACCTATTATTTGCGCTACTGATATTATCTACATTACCCGTTTAAATGCCACCTCTTCGTGTTTTACTTCCGCGAACTGCCAAAGATATCAGATTAAGCACCTTAACTATGATAGCAGTGCAAGGATCTACGTTGAGATTAGACCCATGGATGCGATAGCAATACAAGAATCTCTGTTGTAGTTAAATTCTATGGCTCATGTTTGGTGATTAACTCCGCAATTACGATAACAGTACAAGGACCTTATATTGTAATTAGGCTCCATAGCTACGATAGAAATGCAAAGAAACTCATGCTGTGATTAGGCTCTAAGACCATCGCAGGCAGAGCAGGAGCCTTGTTTTTGGTTATTAAGCAACACAACTACGATAGCAGTGCAAGGACCTCACATTGTCGTTAGGCTCCGTAGCTGCGATAGATTAAATCAATCAAAATTCAATTAAATAGAAACCAACGATAACATTCTCATAGTTAAATTTATTGCATAGTTTAAAAAATTTTTTGAAACAAAAGAAGCTTTTATATAATCTACCTAACCATACCTTATTAAAAAAAACGAATAATTATAACGCTTTCCTGCTAAACACATGTAATATAGTTCATGAATATTTTATTTTAATTTTGTTATATCTACAACAATTTACAAATTGGAAAAATAGAAACCTATAATGCACAGAAAAATTGATGAGATACAAATTGAAAAATTTTATTTAAAGAGATTTTACGAACATATGTACATACAATAAATAAACGGAGGTCTATCTGATAGAATTCAAATGGTACTGATTACTGTAGCTAATTACTCAATAATAACCGACACATATTCAAGACATGCTATAAAAAGAAAATATTATAAGGTTTAACTAATAAGACAACATGAGTGATGGTTACTATTTTTAGTATGTAAGTCCAAAATAAAGTTTCATAGCTGATACGTACATCAAGTTATGGAAACAAAAGTCGATTTAATTTTGAATCTTATAAATACAATCTGAATACGATAAAAAGGATTTGAGAGCATACTCAGATCGATCAAATCGAGCAATTCGATCAGAACGATCAGATCAGATAAATAAGATCTAATCTTATAAAATTTTCATATCAAAATCTTAGAGGGTTGATTTACAATGGATTAAATTATGAATAAATCCTATCTTAAGATATTTTAAATTTCAAAACAACATACTCGATAAAATAATTTAGAATACACATGATTTTATAATAAGTTGGATTAGAATTCTATAACAACTTGACACATTTTGAAAATCTTACAATCCATCTTTATTTAGAATCAGATTCTAAATCTACAATAATTCCATTCTGACGCACAACATATATATAACTAAATCGAAAAAAAATTATCATATATATAAATACACATAGAAGAAATTTGAAAAATCTACATAGGAAATTCCAATGCATGTATAATGCACCTATGAAGTATAAGATACCAAATTTGATAAATTAACACATGACTCAAGTATACATGTTATTTAAGGGGAAACTACGTGTTTAAGGGACCTCATTTTTTACAATTGTATTTTTTTCTTGCACCTCAACTATATTTTTACTAAGTTGTTTATATCATGACTTTTAAACAAAAATATCCCAGTTACAAAAAACTTGCGTCTTATTTGAAGCGAGATAAAAAATCTTTTTTGGGCTTCCTACTTTGCTATCAAGACACAATTGTTGCCACCACTTCAGCTACTTCTCGCAGACAGGATCTTGAATATACCTGGGTCAGTAATTTCTTACTAGAAACAAGAAAACTTGGTGAAGATTTAGAAGAAATAGTGTGTATTTTTTATTTTGCAAGATTAGGGTAACTTCTAGTGGTCTTCGGCAAGCTAGGAGAATTACCAGGTATAACAAGTTAGTAACTACTCCAGGTTCTCTATTTGGGCACTATAACTTTGTCATTGATAAAGATCTGCTGATTTTGGAAAAAGAATCAATTATGTGTCTTCTTTTGGGCATGCCTTTTATTATCTGATTCTTAATTTTTTTCTCTCTCTTGCTCTCTCTCGCTTTCTCTTGCTTTTTTGCTTTCTTTCTCTCTCTCTCCCTTAATCTCTCACTTTCTCACTCTCTCTCTCTCACTCTCTCTCTCTCTATCTTTCTCTTTCTTTTTATGCTATAAATCATTTGATTTCTGGTATGCTCTTACAACTAAATAAAAAATTACACACTATTAACATAATAAATGCTTTTCTTATAATAGGTCAGTAAAGATCAAAAATGTTATAATTTCGAGGATTATTTGAATAATGTACTCTCAGAATGTAAAATAATAAGTAAAATCACTTATTTTGCATTTATATATCAGCTTTATTATTATTTATGATTATTTTTCTGAAATTAGAAAGAAGATATCTTGGCTTATGAAGCAGAAAAAGCTTGCATTCAATATGAACTATCACGTCTTTGGCATAAACTATCTGAAATACAAGTAAAAGTAAGAATACAAAATTCAAATAGCTGGAAAATGGATGAAAATTCGGTTAATAAAGGTCTTGTATATAATGGTAGTAATAATATTCTAATGTTTGACGATGATGACAATGATGACAATAATATTAACAATAACAACAATAATAATGATAATGATGATGATAATATTAAAAATGACAATAACAATAATAATGACGATAATAACGATGATGACGATAATATTAACAATAACAATAATAACAACAATGCCAATAACAATAATAATATTGATAATAATGGTGGTGAGAACTCATAGAAAGACTTTTATATGATTGGCTATTTAATTTTATATTATTTATATAGTTTAAAGTACTTTTTAAAAAAAACAAAACTACTCAAAATAAACAAAAAAGTATATAGAAAGTTTTATTAGAGTTGTAGAACTTCACTATTAAAAAGTATCTTCATCACTTTTTGTTTTAAAGAAGTTAGCATAATAGCGACTTCTTAAAGATAAATTTAATTAGGTTATCACCATGCTAACTTCTTTAAAATAAAAAGTGATGGAGATACTTTTTAATAGTGAAGTCCTACAACCATAATAAAACTTTCTATATACTTTTTTTTTATTTATTCTGAATAGTTTTGTTTTTTTTAAAAAGTACTTTAAACTATATAAATAATGTAAAATTAAATTGATTTAAATAGCCAATCATACGAAAGTCTTTCTATGAGGCAGAACCTACAAATAATAGCCGAATAAGAACAACTATTGGTGCAGATGTATTCAAAAATTACAACCCAGAATATGTCACATAATGTAATAATACCTGTCGTATAATTGCGACACACGTGGAGTAATGCCGTATAATGTAATATATGCCGTAGGTAATAATATACATCATATTTCATGTGGTATAGTGTGGAATGTAATATTATTTCGTATATGTAATTGCATAAGTAATAAAACTCACTATATATATAATATTTACGTATTTACGTAATAAATCAATTACGTATGAAGTTTATTTCATTGCTATAATTTGCTGCATATTATACTACATATTACAAGAATTACGACTTATGACGCAGTATTTTAATACTACCGCAATTACGACTTTCGTCAATACTACAAAAAAAATTGCTACTTCACTACAATCAGTCGTAATTAATTACATACTTACAACATAAATAGCCAATTAATTAATGGTTCTAGCACAAACAAATTTATAAAATCGTGTTATTATTATTATTATTATTATTATTATTTTATGATGAACCAATATTAAAATTGAAAGCCTAATACTATTATTTAGACTTAATATGTTATAAAAAGAATTAATTATTTATATATAATATATTTTAAATAATTTTAAAAGCAACAATTTCGTAAATATATTTATAATATTTGGATGTAAAAATTAAAAAATTTAAAATGATTCTAAAAGTGCACTGATGTTTTTTTTTGCATCGTTTTTCTTTAATTTATACACTAAAAATATCATTAGCCAACATAAATATATATGTTTCAATTCATTAAACTTTTTGTTTTTACTCCAAATTATCAATTCCAAATTTTTTGCATGTTGATATTGTTGATTTTAATGATTACGAACTTTGGCAAGATTGTAAATTTTTAGGAAAAAAATTTTTTATAGTCTTTTGATTACTGATGTTTACTAATACTTTATTCGATCAATGGCTCATGTTTATAATAAAAAAAAACGAAATACATAACAATAAAAGAACACTGTATTTAACTAGATTTTTTTAATTTATTTGCATTAAAACTTCTCTTGAGCCATTTTTTCAGTTGGCATAAATTGTAAATTAACATTTGTCAATTAATAATCACTGTATCAAAATTTGAAAAATGATGCGCAACATATTGAAATGGTCAAATACAGTACTATTGAAGTTGCCTAAATGTTAAACTAATTCTACCATCTTTAATCTTTTTTTCTTTTGGAATCGCATGTTTCCAAAATCGTTGAGTAGTACCCTTCATGATTACCATAGAACCATTCTCAAGAATAATTTTACGTATTAATTTTTTATCAGATTTATTTTTAAATATAATAGTTCTTGGAGTACCAAAACTGACCGAAGCAATTATACCTTGAGGTACAAGACCTTTTTCGCTATCCGAATGTTCACCGATATAGTCATTACCACTTTGATACCAATTTAATAAAACAAAATTAAACTTGGCATTTAAAATAGATTCAATTTTTTCTTTAATAATTTTTATGGAAGGTGGATAGTCAATGGAATCAACTTTTGCACTAGTTCCGGAGTAATTATAAACCTTATCGGGTGTTGAACCAAAAGAACAAGTGAGCCGGTGAGCAGGTGAAGTGTGTCCATGTACTTTAAAGACTGGACGTGACCATTGAGAAAGAGATGCTAAGTCAGAATAATAACTCTCGCAGTCTTGTAAGGAAAAAATGGGTGAATAATAATACACTTGAGCTTGAGGCATCTCTAATTCAATAAAAGCTGGTTCAGTTTCTGATAATTTACTACATGATGTAGTGAGAGGTTTTGCTTTTTTTCTTGCGTCATTTGTGTCCTCTGTTGATTCAAGTTGTTCTGATTGAGAAGTTTGCGCTTTTCGTTTCATATCATGAGAAATAAGTGCCTGTTAATCAAGTACGTCATTAATAAACTAATTAAACACTGCTTTCGCTACAACTCCGAGTCAATACAGTATTTGTCATGTACTGTACGTTGTACAAGTTGTACAAATTTATATTAGATGAGATGTCTGTGTTACATATCGATATGTATACAGTACTGAAATAAGGTTACGGGAATCAACGTCAGAACTTGACCGTTTTTACTTCATGTTGTACAACTCCTTAATAAAGTTTCTTCTGCCAAAAATGAATTTGAAATTAAAAAATTTGGTACGTATATTAAAAGGTTGATTTACAATACATTCTTACATGGAATTCTGAGGAGCTTAATATGTTGCAAGCTTTTCAAAGGTCATGATTTTTAAAGGCGAAACAGCTAAAAGAAAAGTTTCAACGATGTTATCAAATTTTACAAGAATTACCTTATCACGGGAAGAACAAGAAAAGTTATTACGAACAGAATAAAATTAAATGTTATTAAAAATTAATGCTTAAAACCTTTATTGAAATTTAAGGGTCGCACGGCGAAATTATCCAGAATTGCCAATTATACAATTTAAATAATTGTATCATGTTGTTGATTGGAATCTGGAGTATACAGTAAGACTTTTAGATTTTTCTAAAATAACATTTGAAGTTTTTTTGAATCAAAAGTAAATAGGCTTTTATTAATTTTCAAAATACAATAATTAAATTTTGAATTAAATTTTGAATTAAATTTTGAATTAAATTTTTGAATTAAATTTTGAATTAAATTTTGAATTAAATTTTGAATTAAATTTTTGAATTAAATTTTGAATTAAATTTTGAATT